ACTTATCGATTTGGCGAAAAGCGAATCACAGTGATAATTGTGTTGCAAGCCTAAACGTTCCTCTCTCACACTCGCTTGTACTCTCCTACCACAATCTCATTCCCGATTTATAATAAAACAAGTATAGTATTAGTTTTAGTTTCGTTTTTTACTATAATGAAATTGCATTGTCTTGCGGCAAAATTTCAGAGCTTGGTGCATCTGCCACTCAATGGGTGAACTGGTTGGCGAACTTCTCGAGTGATGTCAAGTCTAGCTTAAGAATGAATAATTGATAACTTTGATCATTTTAGAAAAGATAGAATAGTACGTGACTTCTTGTGCCTCTTCGATGTCATCTTTAGAGTAGTTTGGGCCACAGAATAGGTGGAACATCAGTAAAGCGGGATCACTGAGACGCAAACGACCATTCGTTATCCCTGTGTTGGCGATGCGAAACAGGGAACAGCCCCCTTGCCCCTTGGTTTTAAGTCACTTAGTCGAAGCAACATGGCTGCAACCAGGTGATGAACTAGAGCAGTTTAACCTTGAATTGATCGCTGATACTGAGCTACCAAACCGTACAAGCTGAATTCCTCCACTATGAGAATGTGGACGTAAGAACGCACCAGTGCTAATGGCAGAGATTAGACGATGGTTAATCTCCGAATGAGATCATCCTCAGTACACATTAGCTGAAGGTGAGAAACACACTTTAGCGAACACAGCCGCAATACAAAAGACAAGATACGCGGAGCGGGATACTAGGCATTGCATAATACCAAAACCAAAAAGCGAGTAACAATACGCTGTGTCATATTACCCATGCAGTGTGAGATCAGTGTTGGATGAGGCAGATAAGAGGACCCTAGTCTGGCAGCCGAGAGATACCAATCGGCGCCAAGTTCAAGGCTTGGCTTGAGTTCCCTCTTCTTCTTCCATCCACACTCCGGTAGCGCAGGTAACGTACGTCGTGGAAGTCGGGTTGCTGGTGTGCGCAACACGTGGCCCAATCATCGGAGCCTGGTACGTGATACAATGGTGCTGAGCAGTTCCCTCGCTCCACCTGCACCAAATACGCGGCGCCGAGCACGCACATAGCTCACGTGGTGAGCCCACCAGACATGAATCAAACTGCGAAGACATCCATAGTCGAAGGTAACAAGCCACTTTATGCCTGTCGATCTGATGAACCAGGATTCCCAAAAGTACAAAAAAGTTGAACAAACGGCTGCATTGTAAACTCTGCCCTTCAGGGCGAGAGTGATGTCGCGTCGGCGCCACGGGTGGCGGAGATTGGCAAAAGCACCCCGGGCTTTTGCTACACGGTTTGAGACCACATCTTCTATTCTCCCGGCGCTAATATAGCTGTCAAGGTACTTGAATTTCTAGAGGAGTTACAGTTGATCCCCAACAAGGATCAGCGTATGACTGTATCTCTGCTAAGTTTGGATGAGGACTTCGCATTTCGAGGCTGCAAAACACAACCCGAAACGACCGACAGCCAGTGCTAATCTGTCCACTGCGGCTTAGCACGTTTGGGAGCTGCCACAGATAAAGGCAATGTCGTCGGCACAATCCAAGTCAAGAAGCCACTCAAAAGTAAGCAGCCCCACGCCCTCTCAGTAGTGTCCAGTGAATGCCATTTCCATGATTTCGTCGATGAGGAAGTTAAAAAGGAAAGATGACAGCAGGCCACCCTGTTGTACACCGTTGAAGATATTAAAGGGCGACGACAAGTTGCTTCAAGCCACCGCACTGCCCGAACTTTGGGTGTACAACACTGATAACATTTACGTATTTCTCGGGCACATCTTTCCTGTGCAGACAGTCCCAAAGGGCACATCGATCAGCCGAATCGAAGGCACCTTTAGTACCGAGGAACACGATCACGGTGGGTCGCAAATATATACGTTCGTGTTCCCGGAATCAGCGTAAAGTGAAGAGGTGGCTAATACAGACGCGATTTCGACGGGATTCGGCTTGCTCTTTGCGAATCTGAATTTTACGAGTGCCAGTCAGTGTATGGAGCACGATAGAGGAAGGCAACGTAGAGGAAATTTGATCTGACCGATTGCTCTGTGATTGTATTAATCCGAACTTGAGCCTAACTTGAAAATTGGGACAGTCCCCGGCTCCCACAGCTTCACCATTAAGTTGCGCGATTCATTCACAAGAGCAAGACCCTCGAATTTGAGGAAGTCTATGTGTTCCTCCAGCCGTGTGGATACTGGAAGCGAAAAGGACAATCCGTACTTCCTGGTCGTGTGGAAAATGAAGAGGTCACTGTGACGAAACAAAACTACGTCACCTTCCCCACTAGATCAGTTGTTACGAAAAGAGGACATGACGGTACTCGTGGCATCACCGTCCATTGACGTCTGGCTGGAACGTTGGACGTCACCATCGATGTCCCATTAGTAGTATAGGTGCGTTTCGCCACCCGTGATTATGGTAGAGGGGATAACTGAAATCACACAGGTCTGTAAGCGGGCACAATGGTCGCATGCGCTATAAATTCTAGTGGTATCACATGCCTTGGCGCAATGATCCAACAACGGGAGCATCTCGATCAAGACAAGGGTCACGTGAACCCGCGTTGAAGGAGTTCTGTACCTACTGACTTTATGTTTAGACTGGTTACTTCGCCCGAAGGAGGTCGCGGTGCCAGATGAAGCAGTAGTAGACCTTTTGCTCGGGAATCATCGCCAAAGTACAGTATTTCCGCACAAAGATAGCTAGCCGCCTGACAAGTGGGAGATCCGCACGATCAGTGAACAACCAGAGAGAAATCGCTTTGGCCGTGTTCCTCTTCCTCCCTTGGTGAATCGTGGGTGCATTTGGGGTGAAAATGCTCATTGCATCTAGACTAAGCAGATTTGGAGTTGTAGAGGCCTTTCATAGTGGACCTTAAAGCTCCCGTTGTCGGTGGGTTGTAGAGGTAGGTCACGTGGAGGATCAAACCATCATGGAACCCGAACACTGGCACAGTACTTCGTAATATATAGTGTTGCGCGAATGTGAAACGCGCACCACATGTCGGTTCGTTACAGTCTAAATCACAAGGGCGAAATCGAGGAGGCAACTGTGAATAAGAGATCGGCTGACTTTAGCCATCAGTGCATGCGAGGAGTCTATGCTATTTGATAGAGCACCAGCAATGAAGCATGCCAGTTGGCGTTAATCAAGGGACCTAGGGATGTCGCGCTCAGTTGACTTAAACTGCCATTACTGGCTAGGCCACAATTTTCGTCCACTTATGCATTTGCGCAGTCGCCTCGCCTGATTGGATGAAGTCCCAGGATAGGCAGCCTGTGACATGCTGAAAAGTTTTAATTGGTTAGGGGATTTGGTTCGGTCGGTGCTCGTTAGCTTACTAGTTGCGTCCCCGTATTGGACCACGGCGATGCGAATTCACATAAGACATGGAATGGGATTCTCTCTTGCATAAGTTACCGTTAGAGGACTATCGCTTCTTTTCTGACTCCATTCACTGCATTTCCTAAACGGAATCTGCCACACGTTACTGTGAATTAGTATAATGAATCCACAATACTAAAGTGATGGGACTACAACTGGACTGTAGCGACCCGCAAGGTAAGGCATGTAAGCAATGAAGACTCGCAACGCATCGTTTCGCATAGGCCATCGTTTACAAGTACGGAAAGCAGTGGCAGAAAATTTCGGATATCCAGCTGACCTAACTAAACCGATGCCGAGAGATTGAGTGAGATCAAAAGGCACACAGATCGACTGGTTGGAAATTAGTATTAGTGTCCCTGCGTTGAAATCACAATCCTCCGAGAAGTAAGTTACCAGCACCATTGTAATTTGGGTAGGTTATTCATCGGTAAATAGCATGGTAAAGATGATCTGCAAAAACATATGATTTTCAATCCAGGACGACGCGAGACGTGACAACTCCGCAGTTCGATTTTTTACTTATAGCGCCGAAGGGGATCCCAATCAGTAACAAGAGGCGGACACGCCAGTGATTAGTAGTATGGACATTTTCACACTTCTCGACGCAATGCATATGTTCACATGCTGCGAAATCCTGCCAATTGTAATGCGATTGGTCGGGCTGAAACTCCCATTCTTAACTGTATTGACTATGACCGCAGCTACTGTCGAATGCATCACACCTTGCTGACAATAAATCTTTGGCGGCAGCTTTTGGAGCACTTCTAACGGCATACAACCAAACACTCCTAGAACTATTGGTCGTCGTTCACCGACTGCACGACGTGGTAAGCAGCGCGTCCTGTTGTTAGCACAGCAGATCAACGAAATGCTGGTTGAGTACTATTTTCCGTTTATATAGCCCGGATTAGTTTCCGTACGTAACAAGTGACCCCATCGAACCAGCATTAAATTTTGGAAGAAGTACATTGACGCCGTTTGGACAGAGTGGAAACATGTTGATATGTGGCGCGCAGTGGGAAACTGCAACTGGCTAAAGTCAATCACATGGGTAGCGCGGTCGCTACCCACAGTCCATGGTCAAAAAGTTTTAGGGTAGAGTTCGATCACTTATAATTTCCCAATTAAAGGTAGATGAAAACAACATGCGCTTCGCCAGCTGACACTTTGACTAAGTACGATAGCTAATCCGATTGCTTAAGCCTTATAAGGTATATCTGATTTGTCTGCCAAGCATGTTACGAAAACAATTCAAATTGGGTATGGGCTCGTTCAAGTGACCAGCGCCCTGGGATATACCACACGGCTCTAGGTCCGAGATTGACAGATTTCCAGTGCAATACAGTCCATAAAAACGTTCTTCATTATAGATCTTTACGCGTACCACAAAGAGGCGTACAGGGTCGAGCGAGAAATCCGGTCACAAAAGACTTGAGGGTTTACTTGACCCAGCGATAGTGCACATATGTTATCAGTGCTGTGACCAACATAGTAAGATATAGGCATACTCATGCGCTTGGTCAGTAGATGCTCGTGTACAGAGTGATCTAAACGTAACTATAGAGCCAAGTCCGCGACCCAGAGAAAATGAGAAGGCAGCAAGATCGTAGTGATAATTTAATCAAAAGGCAATGTCCGAGACGGGAGTAGCATGAGCCAACAAAGGCAATTGTCCAAGTTGGAGGTTTTATTCAGAAGGGTGTCAAATTAGGAGTGCAACCACCCCCAATTAAATCGGGCACCAATCAATGAAGTAGGTGGTCAGTTGACCTAGTTCCGAAAACTCCGCGAACGCTACAGATTAAGGAAAAGGAGGGAGCAGGCGGAGCCCAGTAAAAATAAGCTAAAACGAGTAAGTGCGGTTGTGGCACGTTGGAAGTGGAGCCTCGGAAGAGCTCTGCCATGCTGGACTCGGACAAAGGAGAGAAGAGAATCATAACGTCGGTAGTACGGGCTTGAACGGATATCCAGACAGTGAGGGAGATGGTTGAGCATAACCGGGTAATCCAGTAGGTCCCGCTGCACCAGCAATCAACATAGGCGAAGTAGCATGATTCGTTATCGAACCTAGATTACGGGTGAGGTGAGGAGCCGAGGATTGATGAGCCCTAGGACCATGCACGCGAGGCTGCAAGGCCACATTTTGGAAAGAATGTGACTGGAGTTGTGAATGGAAGGACATTGGGGGGACGACTGAAGGTTCACTGGCCATATTTTGGTAGGCAACCTGAAAAAAATTAGTATCCGACGTAAGAAGAAGCAACGGCCATTGGACCATAAAAAATGAACATAAGCATGGAGATCTTAGGAGTACAGAACGAAGCTTAAATTACATAACTGCATCTTAAACCGCCAGTATCCAGTAATGTGTGCGCTTAGAGTGCAGCGGGAGCCTATACAGTGGAGAATCGACCCACAGGGGCCTGAGTAGTTGTGCTCAGCATTCAAGGCAAAGCAGCGTGTGTTCGTTGTGACAACCGGAAGCCTCATAATAATGATCAGACAAAAAATTTGATAGTGACCAGAAAAACCCTGTCTCTGAGTGTTTGTCGACTCAGGGAGCCAGAGGTCGCAATGGTGGGTGATGTTGTATTAGTGGGTGGACATTGCGAAAACCCAGAGCAGTGGCATACGCTCGTAGGCCCCTCAGATAAGTGACATACAGTACCCCAAGGAGCACAAGCGAGAAAAGGAAAAATTTCTCGTTAAGAGAGAGCTGCAAGAAATTGTCAGATGGCAACGTCCGGCATGCGGCAGATGCAATTGGCTTTACTGTGCATTGAACAAGCTACAACAGTCGCCGAAATCAACAAATCCAATTCGGCTGAAAATAATGAACAGCTTGTGAGTTTGGGACGCGGTGATGCAGCTTCATGTAGGCTCCGATAGTCCTTTGTTTTTAGATTCATGTATGCAAGTAAGCTTCGTACATAGGAGTAAAACTACGGAATCTGTTCGATCTACCGTTATTGTTAAACTCGACAGTAGAATCCGATATCCAGATTATGTGCACGAAATTGATTAGAAGGGAGGCTGTGAAGGAAAGTGATTGACACTAAATAGAGAGGAGTATAATCGCAGCCTGTTCATATAGTCTCCAAAATTGAACCAACTATTTAAGAAATAAGTCAAGTACCCGTCGTTGACGTCGAGTGCTTCGTTACTAAAGTGTTGAGCGAACAGCCTAAAACACGATAGATGTTAACAAAACCTAGGATATGAAAAACGAGTTAAGGGTGCATGTGTACGAACCCTGATCCAAAACATACATTGAGAGCCATACGAATATCGTATGCACACGTGGGTAACCACACCAGCGCACTGCAGTTGAAGTCAGCCTTATCACTAAAAGCTGTTGTCAGTTTAAACAGACTGTATGTCATCAGTCTGGTTCAGAAAAACAGCTACGTTATAAATTCCTCACTGGTGGCGTAAGCCGTGTGTCAATAGGTTGTGAGTTCGCTTCTTGATAGAGCCAGGGGGTGTGCACCACTAACTAGTACTAATGGGACAAAACGACCGCCTGGCGCGTTTTCGAATGCGTGCTTGAGTGACTTGGAAGTCAGTGCGATGGACTAAAAATAAAATTACCCTAAAGCAAATTCCATCAAAAAATGTTTAAAGCAACAGTCAATCATGATTATATCGGTCGCAAATCTAGAGAGAAAAGTGAATAGATGACTGCGACGCACTCACCAGTAGTCGGGAGACAGTTCCTGGTGAATCCCTACTCAGTTTCGGAAGTTGTAGTAAGAAATTCAAGAAAATCCGTCTCAAAGCTAAGCAACACCACAACTGGCAAGATCAAATGAGTTGTAAGCTGTTCAGTCAAGGATAACCGCCATGGCGGACCGTCTGTAAGCGTGCCGCCGTCTCAACACCTGAAGAAAAGCAATCGCACGACCAAGGTGGAACCCAATGACTCCCTTTGAAAAGGTATGGTGAAAGATGAGCGACAAATTAGAAATGCTCCGGTGGTTAGACCCATAGGACCCTCCCATCTCCCAGTAACGATGAAGATTGTTGTCTCTAGGGATTTTGCTTCATTTTAACGGAGCGATTTTACGTCGAATCTTCCAAAGTAGGACGTGCGAAATCAAAGGTTCACACTAGTGGATGCGAATTCGCAAATGATGAAGTGACGACGGATTTGTTGAATGGTTACCCAAAGCGCTCAGCCCAAAGATATAGTCGACGTGTCCGAGAGTGGAGCAACCATTAATCCTTCCCAGCTACTGTCTAACTCTAACTGAGGGCTTTCTCAATCATTGCACTGGATGAGGTTGGACTTAAGTTGACTGTACAAATCGTGCTGTCGTCCGCGTCAAAAGCGCCTACCAATGAGCAAGGTTCCGTTTTAATTTTGAGTTTGAAGAAACCATAAAAATAGAAATACCCAGGCAGAACCAGTCGTTTTGTAATGACGAAAGGCTCAGAACATCGTTTTTCATGGGCTTGTATTATGGTTACGATTCGCTTTTGACACAAGAGTCTTGGGTTGTACCTTAGCCAAACGTAAAGATGGTTCGGAAATGCAACAAGGCAAAAGACATTGGGTGGATGTCGTCTCGGGGACTGGAAGGTGGAAAAAAGAAATTGTGGCAGTACAAAAGGGAAAAATTTATTACCGGGTACTGTAAAGAGCCCAAACCTAGATGGTGAGTATTGAAAAATTCACGTGGTGGGATTAAAATGCAAAAACTAAGTAGTAATCTCTTAACATGGGAACGTCTGATGTGGATCGCTTCAGATACTATACCAAAATGAACGGTTATCTTCTTATGAGAGAGCAGTGGTTGATGTAGCCTTTCTATCAAATTAGGTAATGGGTAAGATACCTCAAAGAGCAATTCAATCGGCCGGGTATAACTTAAATTTAGCAGGTTATCTGAATAGAAAACATGTTGAAGCGAAACGGGACGTTGACTTGAAGGATGTTTGGTCCTCATTTGTCAAAGACGGCTGCGATTCACCAACGGAAGGGATGACTGTTCTACCTAGCACTGTCGGGCTGATGGTTGCTATCATTTCAATTTGTAAAAAGAATGTTGGTCGAAAACGACTGAGGCAGCAGGTTTGTCGTCGTTGTTCCAAGCATGCATTATTCTGCGGTAACTGTTGAGATGACTCTAAAGATAAAAACGAGTGCTGGGAAGCAACAAGAACCTGTTAAGAGTAAGGCGGCACGCTGGTGTGACCTGAGAGTGTATCCATAAGCAGGAACCACGACATATTCATTGGCCAAAACAATTGAAGGTGCAGTTCTATCTAGATGCTGGTCGATTGAGGGATGGAAAGGGGCGCGCGCATGTACGGATGGTTGTTGAGGGTGCGGCTCGTAGTCTTAAGGACCATAAGTCTTAATTGTAACCCGAGGACGCGTGTTCGAGCCTGCGTAGGGATCGCGCGACACGCAGTATCCTTGCCCACGTGCGAGTAGTGGTGAATGCGCGGCAGTGAAGCGTCGGTACCGCTGATACCTTGCCTTGTTGAGTGGGTGGTGATCAAATGGGTATCACTGGTTCTATGATTGGTTGTTCTAATCTCTTAACTATCATCATAGCATCTCGTTGGCCCGAGTGAAAGCTACACTGACTCTCACGAGGCAAAGGATGAATTGAGTACGACGGTCGAACCATGCACGGGGTCTATGTGCATAGAACTCAGCACAACAACCGAAGTTCGTCTGGGTAACCATATTTACGCAAAGCCCTTCAAATGTGAGTGAAAAGACCGTGAGTGACTGCATTGGCGGACCCTTGAGAAGCAAACGTTCGTCAGACGATGGCCTGACGAATGCAGCGTGTGATCGATATATCTCTCAGGATGAGATCAGCCCGTGAAAAAAACGATTCGGAACGCGCTCTGCACCTTTAGAATGCAAGGTACTACTGTAAAACCAGGCCGACACCACATTACCACTACATCTAACGAAACCGAACAGCGCTTCAGAGCCGTCGAGGATGTTTAGCAATATAGGCAGCGGAAATAGAGTAACCGAGGAGGTTGCTGAGTAGATCAGGAAAACTAGTATGTCGAATACTGGATGGAAACAGCCAGAAGAGATGTCTCTGTGTAGCTACATCTAAAATCCATAAGGTACAATGAGTTATTGTGTTGGAGAGCATCCGCTATATTTACTGTCGGAAGTGTTTGCCAAATAAGTTCTTGAATTCGGACATCGACTTTGCTTCGACTACGTACGTAGGTAAGTTGTTCCATATATTCACTACTCTTCGTTCGAAACAGAGTTGGTGAGTGACCCGCTTCAAATCCGGTACTACAAGTTTGTACCGGTGTCCTCGCGTGCCGCTTGGTGCGCTGATATCGAGAAAGGGCCGCAACCTGGGGAAATCACCAAGATGTGATATCCGGTACGTCATGATGAGGTCAACTCGCACTCAAGCAGAAAACAGTGTGTAAAATCCTAGCCTTTATTACCGATCGGCACACCTCGTAAAGCGGAAGTGAGCCTGGTGGCTACGTGTTGTACCCGTTCAATTCTTTGTAGCTTGCCCCGGATGGTAGGACAGCATGCGGGTGAGCCATATGATTGAAAAGAAGATGCGAGTGACAATCTCCTCGGATCAACTGTAGAAGCTGCGCCTGAGCATCCGAAGTCAGTTTTGTTAAAGCCTATTCGTGTTGTTCGTGGACTTTACGTCGCATCGAAACAGTAAACCGAGGTCTCTCACGTAAGGCGTGGTTGATCGGCCAAAGTGTAGGTTCGAACATGTTCACACTTAAGTACGCTCATGAATAGCGACTTGATTGGGTTTATCGAAAGGTTAACTGATAAACCCCGTGTGGCCTAGCAACGCCGTAATCGGTTATGGAAGCTGAGATGTCAGTCCAGCGTACTTCAGACACATTATTGAGACAAGCACAAAAACAACTTGGCAGTGTACGCGAATGAAGCATAGGAGTAAAGCGGACATAAAGTTCTGTACCGATGTAGGTGGATGACCACTTATTAGAATATCCAGACAGTGGTAGACGATGGAGACTTGGTGGGATAGTTGAAAACGAGGATTGCACAGAATAGTGCAAGTATCAGGAAATAATTGAAGCGCGTCTCCCGAAGACATAAGAAGGGACCACTCAGTCCTGTTGCAACGCAAGCACCATGAGTGTGTCATCCTATCCAAAGCTGTGTATTGAAAGAGAAGCAAAAGAAAAGTACCGCGGAGATCCAGGTGACTAAATAACATGTCATAAGAGCGGATCAACGCTTGAGCGGACGGACCCAACGAGATGAGTGATAATGGTGCCTACTAAGTTATACCTGCGAGTATAATTCATCAGAGCCTGCTGTGACATTACATGTGTCCCCTGTGTGTCCAGTTCCTTGATGTATTGTTGTACTAGACGCCTGAACTGGGGATTACAAACGGAACCTGCAGAGCAAGGGTCATATTTGACATATTCGACATAAGTAAAAAGCCACAGAGACAACAATTAACGGAGAACTGGAAGAATAACGAAAAGCACTACTGACCCGCGTTGGCAACGGCGGTGGCGTAAGCTGGGCTGGTTGCGTAGGTGCGCCAAACGCTGCCGCGTACAGACCGGTTTGCGGATTCATCAAATTATGCATATTTGTCCGGCAGTGATGCAACTGGATACGCTGATGAGAGGGCGATAAAGATGGGTAAAATGCAGAATGAACCTGGAACTGCTGTTGACTTTGTGTAGATTGAGACAGATTGTGAGTAGGATAGATGTTCGGAGATAGACCTCGAGGTCGTAGAGGAGTATCTGGCATGTCGGTATTGATGCGACCGCCCCCGATCACTCCGACAAAATTTTGGTGAGCCAAAAAGTTCGACGACGAGGAGGATCCTGAGGCGACAGAGCAAGGAATAGAACCATATCCAGTAAGTAGGGAAGGATGGGGTAGTAGACCGCCCCCATTTCCGGTAGTTGCATGAGTAGAAGAGCCTGAAAAATCCCGACTCGGTGTTTGGAGATTGGAAGAACCGACAGGGTTTCCAAAGATGGACCAAGAACTGCTGGCACCAGTAGAGTCAACGCTATGCCTGGCGGATCCATGGGGATAACCTGATTGAGATTGGTCCTGAATAGCCGAGTACAGACCACCGGAAGGCATCGGCGGGACACATCCAGTGACCGCAGGTAAGTAGGTCAACTCATTCTGAAAAGTTGGATGAAAACAAAGTGACGACTATATGTGAGACATGAATTGGAGGGAATAAAAAAAAACTGAATGTTAAGGCGATGGGAATAAATACACTCTGACTATAGTGCAGTGTATAAGCACAGAGATGATATCAAAATACACTAGGCTACGCATGCGTTTTGAGCAAGTTCGACGATTTCACGAAGCGGGGCAATTAAAATGTTAAAAAAATGAGTGACAATGTGTCAGCTGTACGCTCGCAACGGCGCTTCGCTGCCGCGCGACCACCACTAGTCGCGCGCGGGCTGAGTGTACCGCGAAAACGTCCACCTACGCGGACTCGAACCGGTGACTTTATGGTTGCAAACCAAACGCACAGACCACTCGGCCACCGGCCGACATTTGCAAGTAGTAGGGGATTTATTAGGTTTTGTGTAGATGCGTCGCAGTTAGACAAAGACAGTCACCACATGCCCAGGAAAGCGTTGGACGGCCATTTCTTCTTATTGGGACACGTCAGCAGCGCGCACACGCCGAATCCTGACGGATTCCAACCCACGGACCGTCATGACTGATAGATAACTGTGATATAGCGCGGCTCGTCCTCCACTATCTTGCATGTTATGAATGTGCAGGCCCCCAGAGCAACGACTTCTTTTGCAAGTCGCCACCAATCGAGGTGGCGTGTGAGCAGCTAAGGCGACTACTGATTATTTGTAAATAGTAGGGGGGTTTATTAGGTGTTGCGTAAATTCGTCGCAGTTAGACAGGCAGTCACCACACATCCAAGCAAATGGCTCAGTGACATAAGTCGCTGACTCGCAAGAGTAAGGTCGTGGGTTCGAATCCGGCAGGATTCGGCGGGTGCGCGTTACTGACGAGTCCCAATAGGACGAAAAGGCTGGCTTGTCGAACAACCTCCTCGTGGTGCCAGCCGGGTGGTTCGGAATTTTCCCGTTCCAGCAAATAGTTCGGCGGCAGTTTTTCAGGACGTGGTGGGTTTTCGCCTGGCAAGCGCTCTCCCTATAAAAAACCCACATATATCCGTTTAACAACACTGTGACGTGGCGGACGTGACTCGCCACTAAATAAAGTCACTGCCCCTTGCTTTATCCTGGCGAAGCATTGTATTCCAGCAACTTTATGCTGTAATTCTGGGGAGCATTGGGCCCCTGGTTGACAAAGGAACCAACGAAAGGCGTATGAACTGAGCAATCAGTCACCGACTCGAGATGGGAGCGATTCCCTGAATTCGCTCCGCTGCCTTGCGGGCAGGCTATTCAGCCAAAGGCTCGGGGTGGTGTCCCCTGAGAAAACACCCTACTTCGGCTTGGGCAACCGGGTAGTATCTAGCCTGCTGACAAAACCATGGACATTGTCGTGTTGTGTTTTCTTTTAATATTTCTGTACCTTCTTTTAAAGCTCATGGTTTCTGATGGCTTTATGTCTATTCGTAGACCTTTGCAAATATATAATGGGACAAAACGGCCGTCTAGCGCTTTCCTGCATGTACCTAAAAGCGACGAAGCTACACAAAACGTGTTACCTATGCCTGGTCACTGCTTACCTAGGACAGCCTTGTTTAGTCGGAGAGGTGCAGGGTGGCGCAAGGCTCGAGGGGGGCAGAAGTTGACTTTGCGGCGGGAAATGAAGTCACTGACGATCAAACTTGGTACCGTTGGTCCGTCCCGCCTTCCGGGATGGAGTCCACGTGACTCGCCTTGTGCTTGGCTCGAGACTTTACAGGACATGGGTCGCAACTGACACCAGTGGTGCGTCTGCTGCCGTCTCCTAATCGGATTGCCTGTTTAAAGTTTGGTGCCGAGTTATCTGCGGGGTAATAGCTGATTATGACGCGGAGCAGTGAAAGCCGCAAGGAAGCTGTCTCGCCGATGCCGCCTTATGCTTGCACAATAGCCAGCTGTTTGTGACGGTATATTGTTAACACAAGGTGTAGGCGCCTTAGCCGTGAATGTTCGCTTAAGGTATTAAGGTTTTCAGGTAAGTCCCCCATCTTCCTTTCATTATACTTTATTTCATAGGTCCTCATGGTTGTATGGCAGCGAAGCATCAGTTCAAATGGCTGAGGTACTGCTGTTGTTGATTGATTGTGGGCAATGGCACGCGAGGTGGCGAGTGTGCTTTGGAGGTTTGCTTGAAGGACTCCACCCGGAGCAATTAAAAACAACAGTAGGGAGTCAGAAATCTAGGGTACAATACAAACCACGACTAACACGCAAATACTGACCAGGGAACTTTTCACGAGGACATTGATTTTTGGTACTGGATGGAGGATCGAAACGCTGCAGACTTAAACCACCCATAACAGTGCAGATTTCAGAGTTTTGGGGTAGATCGCGAATCAAATATATCTTCGTAAAACTGCTAGTTCGGTTAAACCACAGGTACAGGCTTTCATGTCACACCTTGTGGGGAATGAACAGAATGAAATGACCAAATAGTGTGATTGGATGTAGAGATATCAAAAAATCGTTTGAGAAAGGCTTACAGTAGTATAGAGTATTCTGGTGCCATGATCGGAACACAAAGGACAGAAAATTGGAGAAAGTCATTAGATGTAGACAGGGATAAAGTATATGCTTGATGTCATGGCCACACGATTCCCGGCTTGTTGAAAAGTGGAATGGGAAACACAACAGATTTGTCCAACCTGTAGATCTGCACTTAACCAATGCTTGCGGAAAAAGGCATGCTCGGCAGTACGGTTCAGTGAAGCACGTTCAATCACGGATGAACAGAAGTAATTCAAAATGTTTGAGACCAGTGATGCAATTAGGAGTATCAATGTACTGAAAAGAATGGGATGGAGGGAGTCGACGAGTAAAAAAGGCAGATATAACCTAGATTGAAAATGGAAAAAGCGGTATTAACCCAGAGGAGCGATTTTTCGAACCCGGTGCAGCAGCGGTAGTGCTTGCTTAAACACTGAGTCCCCACGACTCTACTGCAGATACCATGAACAATCATCCGACGTGAGTGGTGGAATAACAGAAAAAATGTGAGGAAAATTTAGTGCAACCACTTGGATGTAAGGGAGAGAGAAATCAGTGAAACCCACAAGAGAACGTCGTACTGATAAGAAGCTTCCGCTTATCTTTCTATACAGGTCGTGGAATTACATTCTAGTACTCAGTACGATAAATGGCAAGAAGTAGATAACTAAGAAACTTACTTGTAAATCTGGTTGGTAAGCGAAACTACCAAATGAAGCGTCCGGTTGATGCGAAATGCCTGGCCGATAGCGTTGTTGAGCAAGATGTTGTGGTACTTGCGAATGTTGGCTGGGTTGCAGTCCCCAGCTGGTAAAATGAGACTGATTATTCGATCGTTGATCGGGAGATACATAGATAGATCTAGCTATGTTGGAGAAGACGGGTTGCGAGTGTGCGGTGTCACTAGAGATAAGTTTGGCAGCTCCAGTGAATGTGCTGTCATAGGATCCCCTGAAGTCGGAAACGGCAGTTTGTGGATAATGTTGGACAGCGTAAGGTTGACTACGAGGAAACAATGCAGCAGGATGCGATGGTTTGCAGGTAGGGTCTACGAAAGTAGATGTGTTTGAAGAATGACCAACATTTGGTACAGCCTCAGTAGTGGAGATAAAAGTCTGACCAACACATGTAAGTGGGATGATCCCAGCGGCATTGGTATCGAGTACAGGATCTGACGTGGGCCACACGCCCGCAGTGATGGGATTTTCTGTACCTATCCTGGTGGCATAGAAATTCGAGGAAGCTTGAGGAGTCAGACTATCGACCCAAGAGGTGTGGGCTGAAGGTGGACTGAAGTTAACTGGTTGGACCGGAATAACGTCCAAAGCGGAATGCGGCTGTGGTCCTCGTAAAATGCCAGCTCCGTAGTCAGCATCAAATGCCTCACCTTCACATATGACACGTTCGGAGACACTGGTTGTGGCTACTGCGGCTTGTTCGGCAGTCAAGGAAACAGCAAGCGGAGCGGCCACGGGCATCTTGTTTTGCAAGACATTAGGCTGAGAAGTTTGTTGTTGTTGTGGACGAACCTTACAGATATTATTAGCTACTGTGGAGCTACTTGTACGTGTGGTATTCGAATCAGCCAGCACGCCAGAGGTGGTAACACGAACAATCGTGGAGGAGGAAGTTGGTACAGAAGTACTAATGGATTCAGCTGAAGTATTAAAAGGGAACTCGTTCTGCCCCAAGCAGCTCGTAGACCATAGGCGCCGCACTGAACTGTACTCTACTGCACTCGAATTGGAAGCATCCGCAAGTGATACCGAAGCTGCAGGGGACGCATTCGAAGAGCAAGTGCTAACTGGAAGTACATTCTGTGGCGCGGTTGCAACTGCATTCGTAGTGGGCTTGGCCGTGGGTTCCGACCATTTGGATTCAGACGCATGAGCTGGAAGATCCTGCGGGGAGTTCTCAGAGTCGACAGGTTTAGATTTGCTACCGACGACTTTGGACCAAGTTCGATTGCCGGATGTTTGAACGCCCGGCGGACGATCAACAGAGGACTGTAGCGGCATCCTGCTACTCCAGCTCTCCGTCGTTTCACTTAGCCCACAATCATTAGATGTGGCCCAACTCGTGCCAAAAGAGACTGTGGGCATGCTACTGACCGCACTTAGCGGAGGACCCATAAAAGTCGGTTTGTAAGACGTCTTAAACCGATTGGGTGTTACGGAAGTCGAAAATGCTGAAGACTTGCAACTGCTGGTAAAGTGGAAAGTTCGAGAAGAGCTGGGATCTGTTGGCAAGGAAGACTGTAATCGGAAGGACTTGTTCAACGGGGATTCGTGCTGCAGGCGCTTTCGAGCGAGCTTTCTGCTCGCCTTCGATACGACTTTTGTGAAACCATCGGAATGTACACTGTCAACGTCGGAAGCATCGTGATCGCAGAAAGCACCACCTTCGACGGATTCGAGCGCCCCGGATTCAGTGCGTACGGAGTCCAGAATGTTGTCGGTGACGGACTCGGGGTTACGTTCGGCGTGAGTGAGGAGGCTTCGTGGTTTGATGGACATAAGAGGTGGGATATGTGAGAAATTCAAACGATGCCGATCAGAGTCGTGTTTATGCTCGCGGTTGCTATTCATTCGAAAAAAACGCTGGCCATTGTTAGAACCCTGTCCGGATATTAGTGAACTAGGCTCTTTATGTCTTCGATCTCGAACACACGAGCGGGGGTAAATACCTGAAATGGGAAACAGGTGAGCGCATTACGCCTGTGTGGATGGTGGAGAGATGGTAGATGTCGTTACAAATAGCACAAGTTACGTGAGCGAAATGAGAAATCGCCAGTATACATTCGCAAAAAGATGAGGGCGACGACGAAAACACAAGCACATGCAAAGCAACGAGGTTTGTTTGTGCAATCGGGTTCATTTAAGGTTTATTCGCAAGCCATGTGGGCACAAACCATGAGGAAAAAGGTGTGCACGCTTTCGCCAAGGGAGACATTAGCATGCACACATACCTCCACCAAAACCGTTAACACGTCGATTGTTGGTAAATTTGCGTGTTCCCGGAAATCCTCTCGAAGAGTGCGTAACCGTGTACATTGCAAAAGTTGACGAAGCTGGTTCGCCGGTATTCGAAACGACAGATACGCAGCCATCAACGGCAGTGAAACACAAGTGATCACCTAGAATGACATCTCCAGTGGGAAGGTTGTTACGAATAAGTGAGGGCCGCGGTGTGTGTGGAGCAGCGTCTGCTATTAGACAGCTAGCAGTAAGGACGTTAGAGGAGCAAACCAAAGATGCTGAAGGTGTCCGTGAAGACGGAACACTGTCGGTACTCCTACAGCCCGCTGAACCTTCAGAAGCTGTTTCCCAATCTTCTGCATCATTAGCCTCACTTAAGTTTTCGCGAATGGCTATAAAAACGCAAACAAAGGAGATGAACTTAGTTCAAAAGCAACAGAGAAAGGGGCATCAAAACTACAGATGAATCAAGTATTAAGTGCCGGGTGAAGAACATAAATAACCATGGGTGCACAATGAACGGAATGGTCATATTAATCACAGACGGTGGTAGGGTGGGCTAAATGACAAACGGAATAACGGAAGTTCAAAAAAGAACCAACAAGGACTAAGTGGAAGAACATCATACAGGAGGCCCCAACTGCGGAGACAGGAAGTCATGGATATCTAGTGGCGCATGGAACGGTAAATGTAAGGAGTAAAAGCTATGCATCTGAAAAAGTGAACAGAGGCCTTATGCTCAAAGCGAGACCAAGCGGAGTGTAGGTTGTTAACAAGACGGACAGTGTTACTAAGGATGGATTCGAGAGACGGAGCAAGGCGGTGATAAAAAGGAATGATGAAAAAAGAAAAACGCTAGGGCAAAACTCATTACTTTTATCCGAATGAAGCCGGCGATCGGTGGCGGTCATTACATTAGATGACAGGGAGATGGCGCCTTCCGTTAGAGCTGCTGTACTGACCGATGCTGTCAATACACCTCGATGATTGTTGGTGGGGCCCGATTCCCGATTCCCTCCACTCTTCTGATTACCACTCAGATTGTTGTGCCCATCAACTCCACATGCACCACCAGGACCACTAGCCGAGGAACCTTCACCGCCGGTGTTCGAGCGGCCAGCACCGCCAGCAGCAGCACCACCTTCATCATCCTTCCCGTCGTCATATCTGTCTCGTTGCCCACGATATCGGCGCGAAATTTGGGCATGCGAACCAGAAGAACGCTTGCTTTCTTGCTGTAATGAGAGCGACTTCCCAGATTTCCAAGAACCACCACCACGAGAAAAAGAGACGCGTACACCACGGGAAGAGAATTGGGAATGGAACCCAGAAGCGCCGCGTCCACGCTGTGGAAAAATTGATGGATGACAAATTAACGCGTAATGGATACAAGGTATATATATATATATATATATATATATATATATATATATATATATATATATATATATATATATATATATCATGAGGTACAGATATTGTGCCATCACAATCATGACGGCATATGGAGAACATAATTGGAATAAACAGAAAAGCACAAATTTATTTGCCTTGAGATCCGCTCGCATTATGTGAGTAGTTATAGTTTGTTTCCTTAGGATAAAGAAGCGGGATTATCGGGAAACACCTGCCGCCGACGTTGGTGTTGGATTCATCGCGACGAGACTGGATCTTAACACGCTTTGCTTCTCAAGCAAAGCGTGTTTTCAAACCAGCGAATAGTCGCCATCTTTAGGTAGAGCGGGAATAAGGCCATTATGGCCGGGTGCTTTACAACACTTTAGTAGGCGGTTTGTGTCAGACTTTCTGGTGACAGAGTATGTGGGGACAAACGACTCAGCACCAGTGTCCCCGTTAAAGAGAACAGATGAAGCTGGCGGCTAGCAAAACTGTGAACCGAAATGTCCAGCCGATCGTCATTGAAAAGTACTGATTAAGGAGCTGTTCAATTAGCAGATTGTTTCAACAAAGCAGATATCTTCTGTGACTCGAATGAGATGGAAGAATTTTCTGGTACTACTAGAGTAAGGAATTCCATCTCTCTAGTACGTTTATAGCACCAGGTTTCACAGTCCCTTCGTAGACTCTTGCGCAATTATCAACCCAGGGATTGGCGATCTTCATTATAAATGGAGTCAGTCGGGACCTATCGGCATTCGTCCATCAATGATAAAGAGACAACGGAAATTTAGCTCTGCAGGGAGAGACAGGCAACTCCACAATTGTCGAGACCAGAAGAAATTAAGACGAAGTATTGTTGGCGCTGAGCATTGGTACTTGGTTAAGGTAGCAGGGTTTCGTAGCTACGCGACTTTCGAGCAGCAGTGCGTACGCTTGGGCGATCCTCCGAAACGCAAGCAAGACCTTAGCGTGATTGGAGTCCAGTCAAGTTGACCAGTACGATCGCCAGTTGGTTATGCTTCAGTGCCATCTGTAACTTATTTCTAGATAGTCAAGCTGGAACCATCCTTGTATTTGAGAAAGCGAGCATCAGGTAGCCATGTCTCTTCATGTGCACACAAATGTGATGATCAGAGCAGTACCAGCATTATGTCCCCATTGTCTGATCCACTGATACTAAGGTCAAAACTGGCGCCCGCTTGATGGTCCATTCGTGCGTTCAAATCTTCGGCAAGAATGACAGTATCAGTCTTTGTGGAGGAACATAGATCATGTAGTTGTTGGCAAGAGCAATCTTTCACTACATCCGAGCTGCATACTGTATGAGTGAAGGCGGAGACGACAACTAAGGACCGCTTAAGGTCTCGACGATTGCTTACATTAGCCGAACCGTGTAGTCTAACTGCGCATAGCCGACTGTTGACTAGGATTCAGTCAAACGTAGCGGTCTTAGCCATGACACTCAGTGCAGTCCCAATACCAGCCTGGCCAGAAGCGGCAACCTTTGGGTCCCCAGTAAGGGGTATTTGACATCAAGGTTTGTCGGAGAGGATATAATGATGACGGCGCTGGAGTTATGCAGTATGGCTTCTGAAAGGAAACTGATGTCTACCGAGAGCGTCTCAAGAGTACGGACTAGACATGATTGCCGTCATATATGCATCAGGGTGAGAACACTGAACACCGCGAGACAGAATGAAGAACCAGGGGGAAGGAAATCCAGGGCTTCGTTGGGATGTGAGAAGGCTGCGATAGCTGACAGCGAACACCAGGAGCCAGGTGCAATCAGTGAGCGATCTATGGAAGACATGAAAGGACATAAGGACACGCGTTTGGAGAACGGGATATGGGGCGATCTACGAGTAGAGGTTGAGCAATGGAGACAGTAGAGCCAGTGGACCTCGCAAGAGCGAAAGCGGGCGTGATATTACTACGTTGTCCAGACCGAAGTAGGTTGTCTTAAGGGGCTCTGCCCCAAGCCTTTGAGTAAGGATCATACGTACAAGGCAGCAAGGTGATATGGAAATGTCGGAACCCGTTGGGACCCAATGACCGAATAAGTCTTTCATACACATTTTGGCTTGTAAAGAACAAAACAAATCCTTGAACGACAATGCTACTGTGAGAAAGGCATGGAGAAGTGACTTTATTTAGTGAAAAATCACGGCCGCCAAGACACAGTACTGTGAACAACTAGCAAGGCTTTTTACGAGGAGAACGCCTGTCGAAAACCCACTACGTCATCAGGCACTGTCGTCGCTTGCCCCGACGGGGCGAGACCTACTTATCTCACAGGTAACAACCAAAGGTGGTCACTCTCCTATCCGCATCCGTAATCAGGAAACGCGTCATGGCATAGAGATTTGACCCATCAAAGACAAGCAGTGGTCGTTCCTGAGGCCTAGTATATGCAAACCAGTGCGGAGTTTTGGAGTGGCAAACAAGAGGAGTTTGAACTGTTTTAACATCAATCACACGGACAAACGGGATGTTACGTGGTAAAACATCGAGTTTCACGTGTTCGCCTTTAACAAGCTTAACACCTACATTTGGAGACAAAAAGAGGACAGATTGCAGTCACTAAAATGTACACCGGATCAAGTATCCCTAAGACCCCATGCAAAGCAGGTGATTTATTTGTGAAAACTCAGTACCACGATTCCTGTTCAATTCCATCATATCAATCAGAACACTCGATCTGGTACGTTGTGGATGCACGACTCCGCAAGCGTCATATGTAATTAAGCTAGCTTGTTAGCCTACTTTAAGTCAAGTTTACCCTCATTTTGCCCCTGATAAAGTGACGTTACGTTTTGCTGTTTCTGCCCACGAGTTCCATTTTGGACATTATTTTGTTGCCTTGACCTAAGTCTACATGAGTATGGTACCATTCATTTGCCAACACATTTTGTGCCAGACCGCGCGAATAACCCAGGCTTTTTATTCCACAGCACTCGTCGTACAGGCTTAGCACGTGACTAGTGTTAGCTCAGTTTTGCTGTAACAGCCTTCATGTCACACAAAATCGGACAGAAACCATGGTGCCTAAACGCATATGCAACGCAAAAGAATTCAAGGCAACGAATCGCCTCTTTACGGCTTGTGAGCAAGCGCGCATGTTGAGACCCGCAGGGTAGCAACGTGAACCCTGTCAAAATTTGCCAGCGACGCCAGCAGACAGACATCGCACCACCAGTTTCCAAACACAAAAGTAATAAGCAGGTTTAGGAAGGGAAGTTGTATGAGAAAGTGCACCCGAAAAATCATTACGAAAGGATAAGCGAGCGATTAAAAGTGGAAAATGCGGCACATAACAAGACAGCACCAAAACAAAAAGGAAGGCCAAAAAATACACATACCAATGAAGTCGGCTCAGTAGATTCTCTCATGTCGTCCAGAGAATGACCATCTGGTTTCCGTTCAGCATGATCAGTATTCAACTCGCGACCGTGAGTTTTGGACACGAGACGTAGATTTGTATTGTCTCGACTCGAATGAACGTCTGATTGTCGTCGATGGGTGCGAAAACCATCAGCAGTCAACGCAGTCTGCTCCCCGTCACTGAAGCGATTCTCATGGAAGTAGTCGCGCTGCCTAGAATATCCAGAACCGGCAGCATGACGAAACTTTTGAGTCGAGGAATAACGGCGATCATCCCTACCAGAAGTAATGTGTCGCTGGTCAGGAACACTCATCTCCTCACGAGTCTCCACATCACGGACATTCGTGCCCTGTCGGACATGAGTTGACGGGCTAGCAGAAGCTCTATGAGAGTGAGCAGTTCGTGCGTCTAGAGGTTGAGTGTAAGGAAACTTGAGTAAACAAAATGTTGCAACCGATCATGAAGGATGAAATTTACGTAGTCCTGATTGTGGAGATTTCATCAAATGACACCAAGCAAACATCATAAGCGTAAATCCCAAGAGTCATGAAACTGTACATCTAAGCAGCGAGAGGTCAGCAGTGAGTGGCAATTGATAGCGACCGAATGGAACACGGAAGCGCATACGCTACGAAGGCCAAACTGGGAAAGGAGACAGAACCGTGCACCTGCTGTCTGAGGATGAGCAATCAGGTGGGTTGGCAAAATCTGTGCTGATCACCAATAGGGAGATGTGGATGTACTGTGTGGCTAAAATGACGAAAATCTTGGAATGGGTGGAGTGGTGGGAACGTGAGTATTTGACGTGGATCGTTTATTGGTTGTAGCGGGTCAGAAATCAAGAGGACAGTCGGGGGCATTACTGATACACTCGAAAGCCATCTCGCTCACTATACGAGGCATTACAGTAACAGCTCAATCGATCGCCTACCTCGGAATCGATTCACGCTAAGGTGGAGTAGGTAAGCTTACGGACCACACCTAAGTTCAGAAACTGGATCCAATCTATCAGAAGCGCCCACTCTGTTTGTAGAAATAAATTGTGTTTACGACAATCAAGAATGAAGGTTAGACCCTCTGTGAAACAAAAGATGTGAAAGAACAGATCACCGTCAGAGCGCCTACCCTAGGTAGACGGAGTGAGACCCACATTCAAAGCTTTTGGTGTAGAAACCCAATTGTGGATTAGCCGGAATACGGCAATAGCTCAGTAAAGGAGACAATATGACAAAGAGTGCGACCTTAAATTACAAACCGGCGTATCAAGGGACTGAGTTCGTCTGTGTCCAAAATGAAGGCGTCATAGCATAGAATTCAGTAGATCGGAAAAATATGTGTATTGCAGCAACATGTTAATGACGGAATGATGACCCATACATCGCCTTCCCTTCGAAACCAATCGTGCCGCATGTCTGTTAATTCATCCTTCTGTAACTGAACAGGAACGGATACGGCGCTTAATTACCAGGTGGCATTTTGAAAGTTATCGAAATTGTTCTAAAATTCCCTATTAACCTCGCATTCGTTCCAGTTTCCAGGGTGATCGTATTGACAGCGAACCTCTCCTCATAGTACCATTGGTTTTCTGTTAAGCGAATGCGCCAGCATAGTTGAGGTACTTCGCGAGATCATAAGCAAGAAATGTGGAAGTCTAGTGTTTCCAAAGCCTAATTTGGAGCATTACTATTAACAACTGTTTGTAGTCGATAAGAGGAAACATTTGTAAAGCACGATGGTGAGACTGCGTGCGTGAAACTGGATCCTCCGGACCACCTGCAAACTCGTGAACGATAAGCGTACCGATGCCGCTGTCTGAAGTGAATCCGGCCACCAGTTCCCAGGCTAGGATGTTAGCGTGTCAACAGATGAGAACATTGCATCTCTTTTACTTCAAAAATAATTCTCGGTATCTCGGATCAATGTGAGGGTTTCTTTTCAGCTAGTGGCTCGTTAAGTGAGCCATGCAAGAGATGCATATGTGGCTGGAATGAATCGCAGTGGCGACCGGTGAATAATACAAAGGATCTCAGTATTAAAATAACTTGGGAACAGGGCCACTTCCCAACCAATCGTATGGCAGATGAAACTGGTCGAATCCATGGACAATGCGCATTGCATATAGTGATAACAAGTAAGTCGAACGGCCTCGCTAATTATTGTCAGCAATGCATTCGTGGGTTGTTGCTAAATGGTTAGTGAAAAGTTGATCTCAAATGGGTGGCGATACTATTGACACAGGTCATCGCATGCATTTATAGCAACCTAAATGAGGCTTTATGGATACAAGTCTGCGGACATGCGTTCACTAGATCTGTTTCGAACAGGAAAATCATATGACGTAGACTGTGATGACGCCGCCATTGCATGCGTTCTTATCAAACACAAAACCTGCAACAATGATAGATAAACGAACAAGTAATGTCAGAGTGATTGTAACTAACTAAGCATTTGCGCCATCAGGATATTCTTAAAGCCACGGTCAGCTGTTTTTGAATGTACAGCAGCGGTCGTTCGCAAGCAATAACGATGGCCTCCAGTAGTCTAAGAATGTGAGGCCGCCGATTGCGCAATAGCATTGTGAACGACACACCAGAAATGATCCGGTGCCCGCTGGTAAGCAATTGCTCTGTGACTGCCGAAGCGGCTCGGTTTTCCGATTCAACCAGTTCCGTCATCACAGACTCCATGCGATGGAACTGTGGCTGTTCACAGCAACGAAACTTATGCTTATGTGTTCGACTAAGACACCGACGAGGAGGCAGTGCACGTTCCACTGTCTATGTAGACGTACCTGAAGCTGTGGAGACAGCTAGGTTGGGCGCACTGACCAAAGTCTGGGCATCATAATCATGTAATGAGAGAATCAGCTGAATTGGGAAACCGACTGTTTGGGTAGTCACAGAGCACTTGCTTACCACCGGGCACCGGAGCAATCCTGGTATGTCGTTCATATTGCTATTGCACGAACGGCGGCCCCACATACTTAGACAGTTGGAGGCCAACGTTATCGATCGTGAACGACCGCTGCTGTGTATCCAAAAACAGCTGACTGTGGCTATAAGAATACCCTGATGGCGCAAATGCTTGGTTAGTTACAATCACTCTGACATTGCTTGTTCGTTTATCTATCATTGTTGCAGGTTTTGTGTTTGATAAGAATGCATGAAATGGCGGCGTCATCAATCAATCCACGTCTTATGATTTTCCTGTTCGGAATTATAAAGGGAACGTTTTGTTTCAGAGGCAAGTTTGAAAACCACATACTCGCATTTCATTTTGCAAACCAGCCAGGATAGACAAAGGAAGCTTGCGAACAAGTAATACCGGGTGCAGCATATTTGAAGTCGGCAATTTTGGTTTCTGTCCACTATAATCTGCACTTCCAAGTCAGCGATCTACATCGTAATAAACTTGCTATCTCTAAGCGATCCGGTACTTTGTCAACAATGGAAGTTGAAACGTAAGGTGCTGGGGCAATTGGCAAGGCATTCACGAAAAACTGCTACACTTTTCTCTTATGCCCCAGATAGCCATTATTTTCGACACCTATGAAGTGTGACGCTCAATAGTCGCGTATATTGGATAGTTTGTAAGGTTTTCGAGGTTGATGTTCGATTAAATTTGGCATAAGGAAGGCAAATAGAGGAAGCAGTCACAAAAGTGATTAACAAAACGGAACACGCATCCAACTTGATCAATCAATTTAAACTCCAAATCCAATGGGTACTCCGCACGCTCATTGGTAGACTCAATGTCGAGTGACCAAACAATCACTAACACCCATACGAAGATGCAACGACGCCGATCTCTCGTTGATATTGATAGTAACGAACCTCAATGGACCTTTTAGTAGACTGGCTGATAGTCAGTGTTTCGATGATTGGCCGTTGGGATCACGCCCACGACACCTCTGACAGACGTCCATGTTGGAGAGACACCACTTTACAAAATACCACGCTCTGTCTTATCAGCGGGACGACAGCAACTGCTCTGAGGTCTGTTTGTGATCGGGTGTTGCGATATCGTCCCCAGAACTTCTTATAGCGCTCGAATGAAGCTCCGAATCACTGACTGTGACTGCATAGGACTTAAAATAAGGAGACAGGGCATGACGTTCTGCAGCGTAACTCCCGGGTCCCTCCTGAGCAGTTTAGTCAAGATCTCTCTATTTGAAGTGATGGCTTCTCGATCGGAGGGGGATCAAGTGATGACTTGTTCAAGAAGAAAGAAGGCCCTCACTTCGAATTTGGAGTCTCCCGATTGCCGCGCTCGGGATCGGAGGATGATGAGCACGTCTGATTCGATACACTTGTTGACAAGACTTCAATGGCGATTGTGTTGCGGATTTCTTCGTCCCTCCCTCCTGCTTATCCTCCCCCTCCAATCACGATTTCAGTCTTAAGCATAATGTTACTAAGCAACAGGTTACCTGTTGTTTTTTGTACTCTATAATGTTTAGTATCTCGTTTACCCACATATCTTTTGTGCATTGCGGCACAATAGTTGAAGTGTGCTTCTCACCTATAGCTAATGTGTAATGATGACAATGACGATCAGTTCTGAATGTGTATCCCAAGAATGCGAATATAAATACGACCCTGGCGTTACCAAAACTGTCGAATGAATTCGTTCAGTTGGCGGGGTTTGAGAAGAAATGAGATAATCATCGTGTTTCCAACTTGAGACGTTTGAGGAAAAAATAATACGCCGATCCCTCTTAGTGAAACCTCCGCAAGGATAGCGTTCAATGCATTCAAAGCATTTTTGTAACAACGGATTTATTTAAAAATCAGGCGTCTATGTGAGAATTGCCTTGATGCAAATCGATCGAGTGGATGTGAAAGTCTCTATAACGCAGTCAGACAATGAACCTCTTCACAACAAAGTTTCAGATTAAACGAAGAAAGGATTCCAAGGAAAGAAAAATACCTAAGTCCGACAGTTGGTTTTCTATGCAGCAACCCGATTCAGTGATAAGCCTGGATCTAGTGCTAACAACTGTAAGGTAGTAAGTTAGTTTTGAATGAAAGGAAGTGTAGATCGTTGGTTTGGGGTTTACCATCAACAAAGCTAAAGTATATGCAGAGGAGGTAATTCCTAGAGTTGAAAGTGTGTTAAGGAAGTTACCAGAGGTAAGAGTGGAGAATATCCGTGCACAGTTAGTGAATATCATTAAATTTCTGAAACCGGGAAAACCTTATCTAGCACCAGCTGAACGTATCGTGTTGAACATCTTGAGGGAAGACCGCACTACCGTAATTACAAAGGCTGAAAAAGGAAAAATGATGGTGGCGATGTTTAAATCGGATTATTTGGAAAAAATGAAATAGCATTTTGAGACAGGGCAGTATAAGACAATTGAAAATAAAACCGTATGGTGATGATGAAAAAGAATACAACGGAGGTAGGAAGGTAGTTGAGAGTAGTAAAGGACGCGTTCCATCGCAACGAGACTGGACCTTAGCGTGGTGCGATGATTTGCGTACGCCCATGATCCATTGAGTTATACTGGGTGGTACTTTCCAAGTGCCTTCAGAGCCAATTATACCAGACAGGTCAATGGTTAGGGGCCAGACTAACTCAGCCTCATAATCCAGTCATCTTCAGAGGTTAGGAGGAGGTCGATGGCCCTTTAAAGATGAAAGCACATGCCGAAGCGTGTAGCGATACGCGCCAGTCTATCTAGTAGTATTTGCATAGTCACTGCGTCAGACCCAAGAAGAGCTATCTCGTCCGCATACTCCAGGTTTGTCAGTTAGTCACTTGGCATAACTTCCACTCCGGTAGTCTGAAAGAACGGAATCACCCGATAACAAAGTTGAAAAGGAAAGGAGATATAAGCCAACTATGGCGAACCCACTTGTTGTGGGGAACTCAGGAGATAGTTTCCCGTAGGCCCTTACACGGCATCGGGAGTCACGTAGACTGCATAATGGAAAGGAATTTAGCCGGCACGCCTTTCATCATTATCAGATCATCAGTGAGTAAATCCAGCTCGAAGTACTAGCGTTCTAGCTTCGTGGCTGATGCGCCATAAGGGAGACCGTCACTGTTTGCTTTACACAGCTTCAATCAACTGTACAGAATAGGGAAGTGGATACTGTTCTCAGAACGCTACCATAAACCGAGCAATCGTTTAAAGGCAGGCAACAGCAGTACGCCGGTACGTAGTACCGACGCTTCGCTGCCGCGCAACCACCACCAGTCGCACGCGGGCTAAGGATACTGCGAAGATCGCCCGGTCCCTATGAGGGCACGAACCTGCGCCCTCAGATTAAAAGGCAAGATTGTGATCTTTAAGGCTACGGGCTGGCCAGCAATAGTTCCATGGAAGTTGAAGTCATGTGCAAAGTAAACTATCTGATGCGACTAGTGGCGAAATGATTCAAGTATCCGGCTTGTAATTCACGCGACACCGGTTTGATTCTGCGTAAATACTAGCAATACCGCAGTAACCTAGCCCGTAGGCAGTCGCCGGTAGTTTTGTGGTACAAGATCAAGGCGAACTGTTGATAGCTTTCTGTCTAAGAAAGCATCCCCAACAATCCTAAGTTTCCGTACAAGCAGCCAAATTTTGATAAAGTATGGAAATACGACAGAATATGCTGGAAATATCCACCAGACGCTTGGACCAAGTGCCAAATTTGAATCGTGAATCAAGAGCGAAATAGACGCACTATTGACACTGCTCAACGCGTCGAATGAAGTATCCTCGGTATTCCGGATGGTTATGGGCTGGGTAGGCCAATATAGAGTGGAAGTTTCAAGCAAATGTAACTGGATGGCTCTAAATAGCTGTTGCATCAAGACGATTGTTTTTAGATACAATAATATTAGTCAAGGATCTCATCTTCGTTAAAACCTGTGGCAACAGCTTGCGATAGCGGACCATCTGGTGTGGCTAACGTAATCTGATTAAGACAACCCCCACCCCCTCAACCAGACAATGAGCACAGCAAACACAGAAGTGGTATAGACGATGAGCATTCTCTAATCCTAGCAGTTCTGGTTGACCCTGGTTAGCTCTTAATCAATTACTTGCAACCTGGACCAATACAATATTCTGCTGGAGTCACAGACATGAAAACGGGTTTGAGCGGCTTCTGTGAATGAGGCCCATGAGGTTTTTACTCGCGCAACAGCGACTAATGATTCAGATTAAGTTTACAAGGAATAGTTGCGGAAGATATCGGTCAGGATGGTAATTTTAGAGGAGTGTAGCTAAGAAGTGGATGAACAACTTACCTCTTTTATCTGAAGGAAAGTGAAAGCCACTGCGGTTGGAGCTGGCCGCGGTGGAGGACGAAGCAGCAACAGTGTCCTCTGCCGTTTGAACGGTAACCCTTGATGTTGTATACCCATTCCGTAAACGACTGTCACAGGGAACAGATTTGCGATCATTACGGCCTTTTGGATCGTCGCCGGAGTTATAGTACCCATCAATCGCAGTCGACACACTATTCGCAGTGTTCGGACGGTCAATTGCATCAAAAGATGCGGCGCTCACACCACTTTTGTCACCTCGATATTGGCCCCGCTGTCCACGATATTTTTTTGAAAATTGACCATGTGATCCAGAAAAATATTTGTCCTCACTTAGTGCAATGAGCGATCTCCCGGAAGTCCTCCAAGAACTACTCCCACGTGAGAAAGTAGTCCGTGAACCGCGAGTGTAAGTAAATTCACGACCAAATCGGAAACCCGCGGCTGACGCAGGCACTCGGACAGTTGGTATATCCGGGTCATCATAGCTAATTGATGCGTTTTCGACTGGTTTAGTCGCTGTGGCCGATCTCTGAAAAACAAAAGCCCGGAGGAGATGGTTTGTATGTAGTAACTATTAATAACTCAAATGAAAGAGCGAAGCGCTTCAGTCTAACGAAAGAAAACAACTGCAATGTGAGCACCAAAGTGTGATAGATCCATGCGCAACGATTCGCTTCACCACAAAAGTAAACATAATTAAGTGGAAAAGTGAGTAAACAATAAGGTATAGGGGAAAACCTAGTGGAAAAGGAAGCAAATGTGCAATTGTTGAAGGAGCCAATAGCGAGATGATGCAGCTGATCACGTAACTGGGTCATGTTGGATAGTAATCAGACGTCGATGTGATCGATCTCATGGCATTCGTTTCAGAAGTGCACCAAGTCGAAAAAACCGTTGAACCAAATTCTTCGCTTATGACTGTACATAAGTAAATGTTGGATCGAATAGTTTGCACAATAGCCAGTCTGTAGGCGTTCAAATAACGCAACCTAGACGTAACGTGCTAAGAAAATTCAAAGTACGACCCAGTGCAACGCAAGACGATTTGTTACCCAATAAATACTGGACCTTAGCCCTTTTGAATTAGTGCTCCCATTAAATATGAGCAACGTTCTGCAAACGCTGATAATTAAACACAACACACATGATGTCCTCAACGAATGACGGCCAAGCTCTTGGCCTTTAGCAGAAACGCCGCAGCTAAGTAGACTGCGAAGAGTTCATGTCTCCATGGATGACTGAGATATTAGTAATCCACTATGACCCCGATAATACGCATCGTAGTCCGGTTGATGAGTCGGTCGTCAGATGCGACAAACACTCAGGATGGGTGGAGCAACCACAATCGCTCCGGATAGCCGCCAGACGGTCATTAGAGCTGGCGATGTCAGTCCAACCTTACAACAGAATCACAGTAAAACTTTAAAACTGAGTACCACTCTAAGTTGATCGGCTTTTCATTGTTTGAACGCTCACCGTATAAACCGTATGGTCCAGTTCCTTTGAGTGGTCCACTTACGAAGCGTGTATCGTTTTGAATTCGTTCATCCAGGAGCAATCACGCAGCAGCTGGATACGACCCGAAGGTTATATCATCCGCTTAACGTAGTCAGTAGAATATATGGCTAAATTTCTGCTTAGGAAAAAGCGAGCGAAAGCGAAAGCATCGGTGACTAGTTTGATGCAGATAAAAGGAGATACGGAATACTCGTCGCACTCAACGTATGGAGACCTAGGGGACAACTTTTTGTGAAACCGCACACATCTTTGAATGCTGACGTTGAGAAGATCGGGGTACGTTTGTAAAAAGAAGCATAAATGATAAGTGCATTCGATTGAAAAGAGGCTATCAAAGCAAGGAGCACGACTGTGGCAGGCGGTGAGTGGTATGAGACCATGCATTATCGACAAGGGTAGAAGACAGTCTAGTTTTCATGAAGGCAGACGAGCCATAGTTTAGTGATAAGCCTGGAAGCAATAAATCTAATAGGGAAGATTTGACAATTGTTAGTTCGACAGCAGCAACGTGGTTCACCAGTGTGTCGTCACAGTCTACAACAACGGTAAAATGAAATCCTCTGATACGAGTGAGTGCCTAGCTTTAACAGCACTAGTTCGCATAGGGTCGTACTGAGGCAAGACGACGTCAACACCACCAGTAGATCGAGATGATTCAGGGAGTGATGTCAAACAGGCCGGCAAAACTGCAGACTAAAACGCTTCACTCAATGTTCAAGCTAGAGTCTGGTGATGGATCAATTATGCATATTCCTCATATGATCTCAAGTAGTTAGGCCAATAGCGGACTAGTTAAAAAAAGTGCTCGACTGTTTACAATGGCACCTGCTATTTCCAGTTCACGGGTTCTAACAATCTGTCGAAGAATCTTGTCAATTCAGAGGTTCTGAAACAGGAACTCGAAGCGTTGTGGATATACCGGAGCTGAGCAAGTGACGGGAACCTCTTATACACTTCGCGTAAATAACTAGAGCAAGGAAAATTTACTTACTACTGCGGCGCTTAAAGCGGTGCGATTGAGCATCTTGCCATACCTTAGTTGTATGCCTCACGCTGAGGTTGATTTTGCATTCATGATGCTTCTTCACTGCAGTTCGGCTAAACTGTTACACTTAAACTAGATATATTTAATCTGGACAAAAGTCACTGCACTTTATTTGGTTTGTTCAATTCTGTTACTCTGCCGCAGATTCAGTGTCAATTTCGCCTGTCTGCTTTCTCTCAAATGCTATGTTGGTTGTTTGATATCTTCGGTGTGGTTGCGCTTGATATGAATGTTCACAAGGTGCCTACATGTCTAACACACTCCACCTGGAATGCTGATTCCAGGAAATTGTGAATCGTTGCTGGTAGGACGGGGTTCACCATCGTCGGGGCCGTCCTAGGCACAAAGAGTGGCTCCATCCAGTGTAGAGCGGACTACGGCCAAGCCACCGCCATGTGTACGTTTGGTACGCATGATTCCCTACAAAGATAGGAATGCTGCTGCTGTACATGTTAAAGGAGTGTGGGCCGGCTCCGTTGATGAAATGTGGCTCCCATCCACATGCCGCCCGGTCTAATTCTTTCGGGCTGACAGTGAATATGAGGTGTGTGGATGGAGCTGTGAGTGGTGCAGCTCAAGCCACCCATGGTCCCTGTGTAGGCGCAGGCGTCCTGTCGCTGTCCTATAGAGGCCACAGTAATAGGCAAATCCGGAACCGGATGCTGCCAACTATGTCCTAGTTATGGCACAGTGGAGGCAACTCAAAACAGTGCACAAAACAGCGTCCCACTTTAGACTAATAACGTTATCCCGAGATTGTGAGTCTAACTGACGAATGAGACGCCTGGAAAGTTGATGACCCACTGAAGCCGAGATAAGAAGCACTAAGCAGGCGCAAAATGCATTCGAATCCGAGGTTAGATGAGCAACTCAAGCTGACGTACAATGTTGTGCGAATCTGTGCTTAGATGATGGAAGAATGTTCAATCTATCTGGGATGGTTTATAATCCGGAAAACATGAGCGAACGTCTGTGCAAGTCGAGAGACTGATGGAATTTAGCAGTTACTGAGCAGTGGAGTCAAAGCAACCAGCTGAGTAGTGATTGATCTGTATTAAGCTACGCAGTTGAAATTCATGTCCAAGTGCAACAAGCAGAATTTCCGCAGTTCGCATCATCCAAATGAGGGATCAAAATTGTCAGCAGTTAACCTTTCTTGACCTCTGTGCTGCAGCGTACTGAAAAGGTAAATTGAATGGACACCACGTGATGGGACGCCGCCCACCAATGCTAATCCACAAGAAATCGAAGTATGAAGCTACAGTTATCCACCTCTAACCGCCATAGATCACCTCCGTCTATCGTAAATACAGCTAAACACCGACTCGATAACCACAGATGTGATGAATAAAGCCACCTTCAATGGAATGCGAGCCGGTTAGTCAAAGGCCCGTTAAGAATTCGCACGCTCGCATGTGTTGAGATACTATCGCACATGAAATCGATAAGAGTGCAGAGTGCCTGTGATTATAGCCCCACAAAAAGTTGGTCTTGAGAAGCCTGACGTCAAGTAAAACTAAATGATTCGAGAAGCTCTGCTCAGGAGCGACTGTGACCATGCGGGGGCGATTTAGGACTGCCTAAACATAAGCTGGATAGACTTAAAGTTGTCAATGTGAGACAAGTGCGGGCGAATTTTGGCGCGTTAGCACCTTAGTCGTTACGAGCCTCTAGGCTTAAGGCGAACGGCAACAAACCAGCAAGGGTACTGCTCCGCTACCACCAGAAGCGACTCGTGTCGCCTCGTATTCTAGACCAATTGAATCGGGCCTGAAAACTTCTCCCATGACATTACTTCGGTCAAAAGTCAGTCGGTGTGAGCTACCGTGGTCCCGATCCGTTGTGGAAGCACTGTCTCTAATAAACCGAGGACCTTTTTACATGGGCATTCCTATCTCATACAGTATGACGTCTTTACAATCAATGGAATAACGTAACTTCTACCGTACGAAGTGAATCAATTGGTGAAAAATCCAGAAAAAAGTGCCGTCGATGGAAAGATGGCGCCAGTCAAAGTAGCAACAATTGGTCAATTCAGCATGAGGATTGATGAAAATTCATGGTGCTAACCAGTGCACCATGTTAATCCCTTAACGCTGTGTGTGGCAAAAACGCCTCAAACCATTATTTTCGCAAATGCAACTTACAATGTACACATTTTCTTTCAGCATCGGTTGTGGCTTTTTCTGGAACTAAATCTGAGTCTATCAGTACAACAGGTCATCGCAATTTGCGGTCTGTCTGGAGTTACAACCAGTTAAAAGTAGCGAGTGTGAAGGTGGGTTTGGCGTGCAATTTTGCGCACAATTTCGAGAACTTTGTCAAAATTTGAAGTAAGTTATTCCAAATCAAAAAATATGTACTCGCTGAATGTTCATTTCTACTGCTGATATACCAGAACGCATAACGTGAGATAGAAAGTTTAGAAGTTATCAGCAATAGTTCGGTTTGTGTCTTTTTTGCTATATTAGGCACTAATAGCGGAACATGAGAAATATCATGTTTAGGTGTAATCTCAACAGTCTATTAACTAGACACAAAGCCGGCATAAAAATATGAAGATCAGCAGATAAGCAAGATTCATCGCGTCATAATCATTGTGGCATGCCAGTTGAAGGTGAGCAACACACTTCAACTAATATGCCGCAGAAAGAATGGAACATTTTGATAAAAAGTAGAACAAAATATTTTTAGTTTGTTTTTCACATGCCGCTTTTGCTCTTTTTTGTCAATTTAATATTTGTAGTGTTAAACATGTTCAGGTGCGTTGTCATATGAATTTAATTCCTGTGCATTTATTACTTTTGTTCTTTCGTTATGATTTTGCCATACTTTATAATGGAAATTTGGCTATATATTTGAAATGTTCTGCCCTTTATTGCAAGGTTGAAAAAATAGACCGAACAACTTCATATGGCAAACGAGCTGTCAGATTTTAAGCCAGGAGTAAACTTCGAACCGGCAGG